CCAAATATTGACTGGTCAGCGCCTTGTGAATGTCCAGTTAACACAAATCAAATGAGTATTATGTTAATTATTACAACAAAATCAAGGATTCCTGCACACAGATATGAAAGTAAATCACTGGTACAAGCAGTACTTTGTATTGTTTGTCAGACTGCCTCTGTCTTAATTAAGTGGTATGTATTTCTCCCCAGTAAGTGTCACAGTTAGACGGGAATGGAGGATATCTCACAGATCAGTTATTCATCGAGAAGTCCAGCGATAGAAACTAACAGTTTTAGTCCACTGGTCCTTATAATGATAACATATATCAAAACCTGAAAAGGGGCAAATTTCTACTAGTCCTTATGATACCTTAACCATTGGGCAGTTTGGCAAGGACTACAGGACCAGTGCCAATTTCTAACGCTGAAGTCTAGGGAAGGACATGTGTTTTTTGCTAATTGATTTAGTAAGTGAGGTGGGTTTGATGCTTCTTTTAACAGTATTCCAGTTATATCGCAGCGTGTCAGCTTTATATGGGAGGAAAGCCCGAAGTGATGCAGGTCTCAGACGTTTACAACTTCGGTGAAACGCACATGCTGACAAACCTAGAAACATAATCCAAGTGAACCGGGATTCAAATCCACGATCATAGGTTTCTAGCATGCCAAAATTGTGGTGCCTTAGACGACTGGCCCCCGTGCCCCCAATAATTAATTCAAGATACTTGTTAATCAGGACAATTTCCAGGATCAATAACATCCAAATTAACAAGGTTTCAGTGTATAGGTAGAAACTTGCATAAAGGAATTGTGAAGTTAACAAACGTACCTGATACACCTGATACTGATAAAATACTATGAATCCAAACAAAAATAAATGCAATTATAATTGTTTCATTTCTACAATCCCTGTATACATATATATATGTATATAATATACAGTGCAGAATATCTGCACATGTATCTAATTCTGAGCATGTTATGAGACACTGAATATTTATCTATCACAATTTGGCACAAAGTAGATATTAAGTACAACTTCTGTCCATAGCAACACAGGTACTACGCCTTTTGTTGATGGTCATGTACGGCTTAGGTTAATTAAAATATTTTTCTTGCCACTCAAGACCTGTCCAACACTAAAATTGCCCCTACCAATAATATTTTGTTCATTTTGAAACAGTGGAAAGAAAAGATTTTTTAAAATCAAATTTCGTTTTTGCCTTAGAATCCAACATTTTGTACATACCTGCATAGTGTCAGATTTGCATGGCACCATAGGTATGGTCACCATGACGATCTTATCACGCTTGGAGCAGGGGTCATGGCCATAAGATGTCATCACGATCTTGTGCAACATTTGAATCAGGCTTAGATTAATGGATTTGTAACATGTGGCCTCAAAGTTTTGTTTTCTTGGTTTACGGATCCGCCGACGTAAAAAATTAGAAAATTAGAAAACATAAAATGACAATGACAAGGTTTTTTATACCGCTGACAATAAAGATTGCTTTGGCAATAAAAATGACAATGAAATGCCACTGTCAGATTTATAATATTTATATGGAACCAAACCAGGCCAAGAATATTTTTCTTTTCCCATCACCTACTCATGTAAATAAAAGATGATAAAAAAATCCTGTACAATACATCAGATACCTTTTTCTTTTTTTTATATTCCGACCACTTTTTCACTTTCAAAATCTGCACAAACCACAAATACAAAATGTCTGGTTTACAGAAATATAAATGGAAAAGAAATCCTACCTCAGATAGTTTAGAAAAGAGTCATAAGAAACAAGAATACTTTTAAACTGGCTCTAATACTGCTCTGAACAGTCTCTGTCACATCAGCGTGATGTGACCTTTGTTGCCCTATACACAGAGATGTATAGATGATATGAGTCAACTCTGATTAACTGTCATCCTTCATGCAACATCAACTGGTAACAAATTAGTGGTGCGACGATACACCGATGCGTCGGTGGATCACTTTTTTTTAACACTGATCACAGTCGCACAGAAGTAAGAAATATCAATTCTTACCTTAAATGTTTGCTTTAATAACTGTTACGCTAAACACTAATTAGTAATGAAACTTCATAGTGAAAAACTTAAATATTTTCATCCGTTGTGTGCCATACTTGACACTGCCAACTGTAAATCATCAGTGTGCCAGGTGTTTGGCCATCCTCTCTATGAAAAAGATGGCTTACGGACCACTGATAAGAGCACACGCAAGTATCGTGATACGTTCGGATCGTGAGTAAGGTATCATCACACGTATCGGATCGCACAGTTGGTGTGTCATCCAAACCCTATTACACATGGTCATCTATAAACAAATTAACTCTCTTTCCCTTTCTCTATTGACATCATCAGCCATCTTTTTGTTTAGTTATTTGGTTAACAGGTTTTTTTCGTTAAACAACTTCGTTGACATAACAATATACAAAAACACTCAAAACATACTTCTATAAACATGTTAACCAAATTAACCCTTGAATGTATTATTGGACATGTTAAATAAAGAAACATTTATAAAAGGAACATACCTTTTTAAAAACATGTCAAGGGTTACCATGGTTACAAACATAACATCATGAATATTGGCCTATTTTTTTCATGGCCATGACGACTGAAACTAATAAACAGACTCAGTGGGAAAAATAATCAAGAGTTCTCAATATTGTCTTTTTCAATATATGTGACATTTTAAGTGGATCTGTGAACCAATTATTTAAGATGAAAACAAATTCCTTACTTTGGCAGCCATACGGGGGAACACCAGTAACATGATATGTGAAACATGAACATGACCATGACCATGACAATGACCATGACCATGACGGATCCTGTTGCAGCCAATCGTAACTGTGCATCAACACGAGTATAAATCATTTGGTAACTGCTTTAGTCAAATGAACATTGGAAGATATTTCCTATAAAAAATATTGTCAACATTTGATTTGACATTTCAGATAAAACTGGCTATGAGGCATATATGGACTTGTATAAGACTAATAAAAATAATAGTCTTGGTTCTCAGGCAGATTTTATGCGTGTATTATGCACGGACTAATAGTCCACGGTAGTCAAATACTGTATTCCAGTATTTTACTCATCAAGGAATACATTTAAGTAGGGAGGCCCTTTCCCAGGTTGATAGTACACAACTGTTTATTTGGTTACATACTAGTTTGAACACCCCCCCCCCCCCCCCCCCCCCCCCCCCCCCACACACACACACACACACAACCTTCTGCTACAAAAACACTGTCCACCCACACTATGTTTTCAAAACCATTGCCTGAGAACCAATTCTTTTATTTGTTTTAGCCTAAGCTTGCTGCAATACTAATCATTCAGTTAGTGTTGGCATGGAAGGTAGCCTAAAGTGTTCACTCATCCTGCAGAAGACCTGGGCTGGATTACCCAATGTGTGCACCCTAATGTTGTGTTGTACAATCTGTAGATTCAAACCGATCAGCAGATCCTGGCAAGGCTATGGGAAGTAACTCTGCCTGAGCCTCAAGAGTTAGTTTTCATGCCCCTCGTTCTTGTCCCATCAAGGTGTCAGCCCTGAATTATTATTTATAACTTTAGGACAGTGAGTGAGTGAGTGGTTTTCCGCCGCTTTAGCAATATTCCAGCAATGTCATAGCTGGGGACACCACAAATTGGCTTCACACATTGCACCCATGTGGGGAATCAAACCCGGGTCTTCAGTGTGACAAGCGAACACTTTAACCACAAGGCTACCCCCCACCCCACCCCACCCCTACTTTAAGACAGTGTTTGCTGCAAGGTGTTAGCTGCTAAAACATAACTTCCATGAAAAGAAGTCAGGATTAAACCATAAACATTGCAAGTTCAACCATTTACTGATTAAACTTAATTTCAAAACCTTTACGAACACAATTTTTTTCTGCCTACACACTGAAGGTCCGAGATCTTTAATCTCTGCCCACTGACCACTGTGATGAGAATCCCCCTCAAAGAGGGTAACAAACAGCACACAGTATGATAACAATACAAAACAGAAGGAACAAACATTACTGAAGACTACCTGACACTAAACCCTGCCTTCAGCGCAGTGACAATGGGCTTGCCTGCTCACAATGGTGATGGGACTTTGTGATTCAGGAATGTTTGAATATCTTTTCTACATATCATAGCCACAAAGATTTGGAAATAAAATTTACAATGTTGTAAAATATTGCTTTGTAACATTATATGTAGAAGATATTGATTCTCATCCTCAATACATGAGTCCAAAACAGGACAGTTTACTAATTACTAAGCTGTAAAAGTTTTTAAGATACTTGTTTACCAATGATCAATCTTAAAACCAGTCACATGTACTAAAAGGGCAGCACTTCTTGGAACTATCTACTAAGGCTAAAAAATAATAGTCTTGGTTCTCAGGCACCGCCCACATCATCATAAAGTTACTACACGTTTTGTTTTTATTTCCATTTTAAAAACAAAAGAAAAAATCCTTAAATATTCCAAGTTCAATGGTATTTTACTCATCAGGGAATACATTTATGTCAGGAGGCCTTTTCACAGGTTGATTGTACACAACTGTTCATGTGGTTACACGGCTGTTTATTTGGTTACACAGCTGTTAATTTGGTTACATACTTGTTTGAAAAACACACACACACACACACACACACACAAAAAGACAACCGCCCGCCTGCACTATATTTTCAAAAGCCATTGCCTGAGAACCAATTCTTTTATTTTTGTAAGCCTAATCCTTGTTTATGTGATAGTGAACTCAATGGAAGCGCACTATGATATGTTTACAAAAGTATAAATAGGATGAGTGAGTGAACCTAGAAACATAATTGGGGTGGAATGGGATTCGAACCCATAATCAAAGGGGCGTAACTCTGCACAGCAAATTGCAAGCACCTTAGGTGACTGGGCCACTGGGTCAAACAGAAGACAGTAATGAGATGAAGTTGACGTGACAATCAACATCATCAACTGCTAGACTAATGTGTTTCTTCTTCCTGTTTCTGGATGACTGACAAATGTCACGGATCAGGGATACCTTTCTAAGCAAGAGCAAAATAGTGCAAAGGCACTGTAGCTCACCTTGATAGGTGAGTGAGTGAGTGAGTTTGGTTTTACGCCGCTTTTAGCAATATTCCAGCAATATCACGGCGGGGGACACCAGAAATGGGCATCACACATTGTACCCATGTCGGGAATCGAACCCGGGTCTTTGGCGTGAAGAGCGAACGCTTTAACCACTAGGCTACCCGACCGCCCCTACCTTGATAGGTAGGTTCACTTTGAAATGTCAAGAAAGACAACCCCTTAAAAAAAGTTGCTGTCAGTATTGATATTCAAACATATTCTGCAGAAATAAGGAGGACTGAAAACTAACATTAACATCAAATGATTTAAACAAAATATGGTGTCAATTTACGGAGAAATATACATGCTACAGTTCAGTTCCCTCTGTCTGCCCATTTCAAGGGAGAAGTCTACAGAGCTATAGCTAAACAAAGATCTGAGGACATCCCACTACGGGTCACGTCAGAACGACCTTTCATCCAACCGATCAGAGCATCGCTTACCAGATCATGAAAGTGACAGTCGGAATGTGTTTTCTAATCATGCAACAACGAAATATTTAACACGGGGTATTCCGAACGACAGTTATGGGTTTTATGATTATATCCATACAATCTAGGCCATCAATAAGCCATTCCAGAATGTCCATCTTATCACTTTTAATTTTTTTTATCAAGAATACGTCAAAATATGTTTCAAAGCGTAGTCGCCAGTTTGAAACTAGTGTCGTAAAGCTCGAGAAAGCTGCCTTCTGATTGGCTAATGTTGCTTTCTTGTCAGTCATTTCAATGGTCGGTCAAAATTCGCGAAAGGTCGTTCTGACGTGACCCATAATGTCCTCAGATCTTTGTTTAGTGGTAGCGAAAACTAAGATCTGATTTTAATGAGATTGTATATGCAATTACACAGAATAAAAGAATGTTCAAAACAAAGACAAAATTTTAAATTTTGCCAAAAAAACTGGAACATGTATTTTGAGCCCCACAAAAAACTACACATGTACCAAATTATATTACATTTTGAAATGAAAATGACTGAGTAATGGAACAGCAGCCATATTGAAAATCGGATTCAAACAACTTGAACAATTTCAGGTGTGTGAAATTTGAACTTCATTGGTCCAGAGCTTGCTGAGGAGATGATGGTTGCAGAGCCAAGAGTGCATATTCAGAGAATAAAAGGCATAATTGAATTGTAATATCAATGCCACTGGATACCAGACAAGCAGGCCATGACTTTAACTCACTTGTCTTTCAGTCAGGTGAGGTAAGAATGCTTTCCTTTCAACTCATTTCACATTTGGAAACATTTAGCAAGAACTGATCAAACCAATTAGCAGGTTAGCCAAGAACCAACCTCCCGAAGTGTGCTGGACCATGGAATGATAATGATATACACAACAAAACAATATTATAGCCAAGAGCAAACAAATATCACATTTTAACAAAAATATCATTCATCTCACATGTTTAATGTGCTGCATGGAAGATTTAGGTATTGTTTCTATTATCTGTATCAGTAATCAATCTGTCAATGCCTCTATCAGTAACCCATCTGTCAATCCATCTATCAGTAATCAATGTCAATCACTCTATCAGTAATCCATCTGTCAATCACTTAATCAATGCATACTTGAGTAACCAGACACATCATTGCAACATTGGTTAATACTGCTAGGAGTTACCTCCCTTGCTGGTGTCTATTGCACTGTCTGGCACCTTACGAGGAGCCAGTCTTGGCGACGATGACACGATACCAGCGTATATATCGCCTGTTTGAGTCATCGTAGTCACGTCGTTGATAATCATCTGGGCAACTCTCAAGGCCATGTCTTCCTGCTCCTGTGAAAGATGAACAAGGTTTACTGAGGAGTCGTGCGAGATTTGGAGGTGACATATCCCCCGGTCTAGTGCAATTCGGAAATGGTGTTTGGCTACTTATACCCCACTTTTGGTTCATTGCCATTGGATACCTTCAGTCCAGTGAAGAAAAAAATAATGCTGTTCAGTATTTTTCAAAATCCCAAATCATCAAAAGACACCAGCTCACCACTAGACTGATCTGTATAGCAAGTTTAAACAAGAAATATTCAACCGTTTTGGAGTTCTTCTCCGGAAAGGAGCACTACCCTCATTTTCAGTCCAACTTGTCGTCATGGAAAAAAATAAAGAATACAAACAAAAATCCAAAACCATCAAAAGTCACCAGTTCAGTGAGTGAGTGAGTGAGTTTTGGCTTTACGACGCTTTTAGCAATATTCCAGCAATATCACGACAGGGGACACCAGAAATGGGCTTCACACATTGTACCCATGTCGGGAAATCGAACCCGGGTCTTCGGCGTGACGAGCGAACGCTTTAACCACTTGGCTACCTGACCCCCCCTCACCAGTTCAACACTAGACTGATCTAAATCGAGAGTTCCAACAAGAAATACTTAACGGTTTTGGTGTTCTGCCCCGGAAACGGAAAACGGACAGACGGACATGGAGATCGCTATATCCCCCGTTTTTCAAACCAGGGGGATAAAAATGTTAAAAAACTTGACATATTCAGTCACCACCCCTCACACTTACCTTTTCCTTATCTTTCTTCTTCTTGAAAAATCTTGACCCTGAAAACAAAATTATGCTTGTATATAGCATATTGTTATCATTATTATCAATGCCTAATATATATTGTCATTGTCTGTAACAAAATATAACCACCATAACTTCAGCTGGTATCTTAGTCACTAGTGTAAGCTCAGTTGCCTCTTGTACTATAGGTGGGGCATTGGTGGCGCAGTGTATGGAGCCATAATTCCATGTGCAGAATTAAACCACTTAGGTGTTTTTCAGAGATCAAACCTTAAAGGCTTATCTTTTAAGTGACTTGACCTGTAACATGCAATTTCAATCCTGGGGTAATTTATGTCCTTTGTAGGCGTAAATGCATAAAATGAATATTGCCAGTATTCAACTGATCAATGACAGCTGAATTCCAATTGAGCTCAGACACCATCATCAATCATGCAGTCATCAGTAAAATCAATCATTTAGCCATCTCACCTTTCTTCTTCTCATGATCTGGCTCAGGAGCAAACATGGACTTGAACTGACCAAGGTCATCCACAGCTCCCAAGGTCATGGCACTAGAACCAAAACTGATAATAAAAATGATATAAAAAAACTTGTCTTGTAATTCTGGACTGGGCAAAGATGAAAATCACAGCAAAACAAAGATGGCCACGATCAGCAACTGACACCAGCACAAAATGGATTCGCGTACCCATGTCTCAAGACCTACCCTGATTCACGTACCCAATTTCAGCAGTTAAATGCACACTATCATCATTATGTCTGTTTTCCTTGCATCATCAAAGTTAAATTGCAGCCTGACACTTTACCATGTCTTTTCCACGTCTCCAACACAAGTGTTAGAGAAGTGACAATGCGTATCTCCTAGTCAAGTACTCAAGTGTTGACGTAGGACTCAAAGCACAACCCGACCCGTGCTCGATTACCCATCACAGTCCTACATGGTTACCCTAGAGGTTAGAACGAGCCTGGCTGTAGAAAACAAAGTAATCTTACCCTGCTTCTGGCCGCTTCCACAATTCATCTGGATTGAGAAGCATGGAGTCAATCCGCATGTCATCCTCGATGCGAGTGAGTGCCTTCTTCACGTGGCTGGTGTCCATGGCTAGCAGCGTGTTCTTGATGCTGTCAGGCCCCACGCTCTGACTCCCTACACTGTGCTCCGACGACGCGTCACTCTCTGTTGGCAAAAAAACCATGTCATAATCCAGCATCAGGCAAAAAACACTTACTTTTTATGCAAATTTTGTGAGTGGCAGGTGGCACTAGGACAGGACAGACTTACCCTTTCGCAAACACCTGGCATCATCACTGATTTTCAGTCATCCATTCATAAAATTTTCACCTCTATTTAAATTTTCCTTAAATACAATGGAACCTGTTATATCCTTGTTCACTACTTTATAATTCCAGTCATCATGTTCTCAACATGTGTCAGTGATTGAGCCAATACTCATTTAGGGCTCCACGAAGTTGTAAAGAGCCTTGTACCATGCATTGTAAGAATCAACTTGCGATAGAGCTGGGCGCATGTGCATCATCTGTCTGTCACATCTTGCAAAGGCGACTCAATATTTTCACAAAATGTTTTGCCAAATTTTGAAAGTAGGCATGTGTTACAAGGCAGAGTATCTGTCCATTCCCTAAAAGTTACGGAGATGCCCTTCAGTCTCATACTTTTCAGGAATGGATAAAGACAAAGACTTCCTCTTGTGTTTCGTCCCTGTAGCTCACCTGTTCTCCTGTGTTTTGGTCTGACCGGGATGTCTTGAGCTGTCTGGACTGTGCTGACTAGGTCGGACAGGTACTTGTAATACATGTCACTCTGGAGGTAGCCCGGGAAGTAGAACTGAAACAACCAGTGTCATCCAGAGTTTAACATCTCAATTATGTTAGAAATACTGGGGATTCATTGTCACTTAACAAAAGTCGCCATTACAATTGATATTCAAATATTTTCTGCATAAACACCGAAGAGTGAAAACTCACACAAAAAATGCAAAAATCTCAACTTTTGAACAAAATATGATGTCATGAAAAGAAGAAACATACATGCAATCCAAAGTTAAGCTTTATCAGTCCGTCATTTTCAGAGAAGTTTACAGAGACAAATATACATTCTGAGAGACTTAAGAGCATGGTCAAAACAGAAAGGTGGACTTGTTTGTTTGTTGTTTAATGCCCCACTCAGCAATATTCCAGAGTTCAAAATCTAAATATTGCAAAGAAATGGAACAAATGTGTTGAATGCAATTACAAGTACTAACTAAGCATATTCAAAATTTCATTACATTTTGAACAAACTAGTGCCAAAACACATTGGAGAAACACCTGTGTCTCATGAGGCCATCACTGACTGCTATGTGACATCAATGACATTGTCTTGGTCAGTTTTGGTTTCTTTTGCAATTCAGGTGAAAACGTGTTGATATAGGGCAAGGTTGTGAGCCATGAACAACATCATGGCCAAGGTCAATCAAGACCTCTGGCGGCTGAAGAATGAGCTTGGTTGGTTGGTTTGCTGTTTAACGCTGCACTCAGCAATATTCCAGCTATATGACGGCAGTCTGTAAATAATTGAGTCTGGACCAGACAATCCAGTGATTGATATCATGAGCATCAATCCAAACAATTTGGATCGATGACATGTTTCAACCAAGTCAGGGAGCCTGACCACCCAATCCTGTTAGTCGCCTTTTACGACAAGCATAGTCACCTTTTACGGCAAGTATGGGTTGCTGAAGACCTATTCTACCCCGGAATCTTCACGGGGATGAAGCGTGAGGGAATGAGTTTGATTTAACATGCTTTGGACAGTATTCCAGGTATCCTGGTTATCTTAATGTGCCAGCTTAATGTGGAGGAAAGCCCAAAGTGACGTAGGTGTCAGACGTGTACCACTTGGTGAAACCCACAAGCACAATCTGTTGCTGGCAGACCTAGAAACATAATCGGGGTGAACCGGGATTCATACCCACAATCATAGGTTTCTGGTGTGCCCAAGGGATGCAACTCTGCACAGAAAACTGTGGCACCTTAGAATGTGGTGGCCACATTGAAAAAAAGATAAAAATTTCCCAAACAACTTTTTGTGTCATCTTTGAAGGGAACATGCCAAGATTCAGCTTCCTAGGTGCAGATGTTTGGGAGACAAAGATGTTAACAGATGAGGCACACCACACTGTGGACGATGGACAAAAATTCCATGACATAACCTCACTTGCTTTTGGAACAGGTGAGGTAATACCCCGGTACTACAGTGTGATTTCTTTCAAATATGCTGAAATCAATTTGTTAGAAACTGTACGAAAAGGTTCAAACAAGTATAAAAATACAATGGAATCTGTCCATTTCAGACTCAGTTGGGACCAAAATAAAAATCTGGTTTAAGACATGTTCTGGTTTACAAAGTGTCCGTTCGAGACTCATGTGGTTTTGATAGCAGCTTACAATACCATGCTTTGAACACTCTAATAATTCTAATAATAGTTGCTTTAGCTGACTATGACTGAACCTACTTCAGTGTGAGTGAGTGAGTGAGTATGGTTTTACGCCGCTTTTAGCAATATTCCAGCAATATCACGGCGGGGGACACCAGAAATGGGCATCACACATTGCACCCATGTCGGGAATCGAACCCGGGTCTTCGGCGTGACGAGGGAACGCTTTAACCACTGGGCGCTACCCAACCGCCCCTACTTCAGTGTGAGAGAACATCTGGTCCAATCGATTGAGACAGCATCTTTTCAATAGTAAAATGGTTGTCAGGACCGTAATTTTTGTCCGAAGAGTAAAAAGTCTGAATTACAGAGTTGTATAGGTCAGTTTCAGTAATGATGATTTATTCAAACTGAGGGGACTGGAGAAAAAGTCTGGTTTTCACCGAACACAAATTTTACAGAGTCCGATTTGGACAGATTCCACTGTACTATAGAGATCACACCAACTATCAATGAGACCTGTACATACCTGCTCTAATGTATTCAGTACTACATCTCTAGGTTTGGCAAAGCAGTCAGGGAGAGGGCCTCCTTCTCGGCATATATTTCCTTCCACCATGAAGCGAATCTTATCATCAAAACCTAATGGCTGTGTGGCTTGTAGGGAGAAATACCTGCCGACATAATAGAGTTCAATTTGACACCAGAACATGACAATTCATTTAGAAGAATCCATTCTCTGTTACATCAGTACTTGTACTCCTGTATGTGGTAAGGTGAGGTGAGGTGAAATGGGGTTTCAACGTCGCGTCCAAGATTATTGCACTTATATAGCGATGTGCATGCACGTGTGTGTGTTTGTGCGGCTGCTTGTACTAGTCTGCACTGATGCCAAATTATAGTGCTAGCCCACTGAGATACCATGCCGCAGTTTAACATGAATACCCAACCCAGACACAGTATACTGACTCTGGGCTGACCTGTCCTTGTTTTATCCTCTTAATGCCGAGCGCCACACAGGGAAACAACAAGTACCATCTTTTAACATCTTTTGGTATGACTCGGTCAGGGATTAAACGCTGGACCTTCTGCTCTACGGGCGAACGCTCTACCATAAGACCATTGAGAATGCAAAAAAATATTCTTTTTCGCATTACGAGCAAGTGATGATTGAGTTTGGCCCTTTTTAACATTATTCTGTTTTTTCATGACATGGCAGCGCAATGTGGAAGCAAAACCTAAAGAGAATATGCACAGGTAAGTACTACATTGAGCATAGGATTGATGATCATAATCAGGGCAGTTTTGATTTCAACAGTGATAGAGGATCCTGTCACAACAAAGGGAGGCAACTAATGGGAGGCAGAAAACATTAATCATCTCAAACCTAACATCATAATCACAAAGAGAAAAGGCGATTTTAGCACTACAAACATCATAAGTCTGTGTTTAAGTACTGCACTTGCTATTGTCTTAGCGCTGGGATTGTTTTCCTCAATAAGACCCGGAATCAGTAGATCGTAAATCCCAAATTTTACCATAGTCTTATAATACTAGTAGCGAAGATCCCATTGTTGAACAAGGCCTTGGAGTCTTTACGACCCTTAGTGTCGTCAACTCACTTGTCGTAGAGCACCATGGCGTCGTCCTGTGCCTGCAGACCGTTATACTCGGCGCCCTGGCTGGCCAGGTGTTGCTGGAAGTTGTCTGCCGCCAGCCAGAACTGCAGCAGGTGACACGCATCTTCATTGTCCAGGAACTGGGTCAGACAAGGAAAAAACTAGGTCACGGTCACAAGGAACCTGATTAAGGGTGAACAACCTTAAAACCACTTTGTACAGTTTTTCAGGCTTAGAAAAAGTTTGCCACAAGTTTCATTTTTATTTCCATTTTAAACATTTAAAAAAAAAATCCCAATACTTAAAAACAATGTGATCCAATATAGCATGCAGTTATATCCCTTTACTGCGCATCTCGTGTTATAGTCATGGCGGCAATAGGAGTTTGTATGCTTGTTTAGGTAGCGAGGCCCTTTCCCAGGTTAATGGTACATAACTGTTTATTTGGTGACATACTAGTTTCAACAAGCAAAAAGAACAAAAACACCACCCGCCCGCATTATATTTCAAAAGGCATTGCCTGAGAACCAATTCTTTTATTTTTTTTAAGCCTCGTGTATATCATTGTATGTCAGCTTAATGTGTTTAGGAAAACCAAAAGTGATGCATTTCACAGATGTCGACAAAACTCTGATGAAACATTTCACAACTCTGATGTAACATAACATTACTTAGTGTGTGACATTTTCGTTGAATTGCATTTATTGAAGATATTCTTATTTCATTCAAACATAAATTTAGTTCTTATGACATATCATTCATACGTTAACATGTCACCGCAAACAAAAGATGAAATGGGTGACATTACAAGAAGCAGGAATTTACCACCCACCTCCATGAAATAGGACAGGGCCAGCTCATTGTAGAGGACATCGGCAAGGTACACCTTGCCACTAGTCAGGACATCCACCTGGTGCTTGCAGTGATACTCGCTGTCTAGAAACCCAGAGTAGTTCCTGGAACAGAAGACAACTTATGTGGCTGGTTGGAGTAGTGGACAGTCATGTGACAACTTATGTGGCTGCTTGGAGTAGTGGACAGTCATGTGACAACGTATGTGGCTGGTTGGAGTAGTGGACAGTCATGTGACAAGGTATGTGGCTGGTTGGAGTAGTGGACGGTCATGTGTCAACGTATGTGGCTGGTTGTAGTGGACAGTCATGTGACAACTTATGTGTCTCGTTTGAACAGAGGACAGTCATGTGACAACTTATGTGGCTGGTTGGAGTAGTGGACAGTTATGTGTCAACTTATGTGGCTGGTTGGAGTAGTGGACAGTCATGTGTCAACGTATGTGGCTGGTTGGAGTAGTGGACAGTTATGTGTCAACTTATGTGGCTGGTTGGAGTAGTGGACAGTCATGTGTCAACGTATGTGGCTGGTTGGAGTAGTGGACGGTCATGTGTCAACGTATGTGGCTGGTTGTAGTGGACAGTCATGTGACAACTTATGTGTCTCGTTTGAACAGTGGACAGTCATGTGACAACTTATGTGGCTGGTTGGAGTAGTGGACGGTCATGTGTCAACGTATGTGGCTGGTTGGAGTAGTGGACGGTCATGTGACAACGTATGTGGCTGGTTGGAGTAGTGGACGGTCATGTGACAACTTATGTGTCTCGTTTGAACAGAGGACAGTCATGTGACAACTTATGTGGCTGGTTGCAGTGGTGGACAGTCATGTGTCAACTTATGTGTCTCGTTTGAACAGAGGACAGTCATGTGACAACTTATGTGGCTGGTTGGAGTAGTGGACGGTCATGTGTCAACGTATGTGGCTGGTTGGAGTAGTGGACGGTCATGTGTCAACGTATGTGGCTGGTTGGAGTAGTGGACAGTCATGTGACAACGTATGTGGCTGGTTGGAGTAGTGGACAGTCATGTGACAACGTATGTGGCTGGTTGCAGTAGTGGACAGTCATGTGTCAACTTATGTGGCTGGTTGGAGTAGTGGACAGTCATGTGTCAACTTATGTGGCTGGTTGGAGTAGTGGACAGTCATGTGACAACGTATGTGGCTGGTTGGAGTAGTGGACAGTCATGTGTCAACTTATGTGGCTGGTTGGAGTAGTGGACAGTCATGTGTCAACTTATGTGGCTGGTTGGAGTAGTGGACAGTCATGTGACAACGTATGTGGCTGGTTGGAGTAGTGGACAGTCATGTGACAACGTATGTGGCTGGTTGGAGTAGTGGACAGTCATGTGACAATGTATGTGGCTGGTTGCAGTAGTGGACAGTCATGTGTCAACTTATGTGGCTGGTTGGAGTAGTGGACAGTCATGTGTCAACTTATGTGGCTGGTTGGAGTAGTGGACGGTCATGTGTCAACGTATGTGCCTGGTCAGAACAGTGGACAGTCATGTGACAACTTATGTGGCTGGTTGGAGTAGTGGACAGTCATGTGTCAACTTATGTGGCTGGTTGGAGTAGTGGACGGTCATGTGTCAACGTATGTGCCTGGTCGGAACAGTGGACAGTCATGTGACAACTTATGTGGCTGGTTGGAGTAGTGGACAGTCATGTGTCAACTTATGTGGCTGGTTGGAGTAGTGGACGGTCATGTGTCAACGTATGTGCCTGGTCGGAACAGTGGACAGTCATGTGACAACTTATGTGGCTGGTTGGAGTAGTGGACAGTCATGTGTCAAGGTATGTGGCTGGTTGGAGTAGTGGACAGTCATGTGACAACGTATGTGGCTGGTTGCAGTAGTGGACGGTCATGTGACAACTTATGTGGCTGGTTGTAGTGACCAGTCATGTGACAACTTATGTGGCTGGTTGGAGTAGTGGATGGTCATGTGACAACGTATGTGGCTGGTTGGAGTAGTGGACAGTCATGTGACAACGTATGTGGCTGGTTGCAGTAGTGGACGGTCATGTGACAACTTATGTGGCTGGTTGTAGTGGACAGTCATGTGACAACTTATGTGGCTGGTTGGAGTAGTGGACAGTCATGTGTCAAGGTATGTGGCTGGTTGGAACAGTGGACAGTCATGTGACAACTTATGTGGCTGGTTGGAGTAGTGGACAGTCATGTGTCAACGTATGTGGCTGGTTGGAGTAGTGGACGGTCATGTGTCAAAGTATGTGGCTGGTTGGAGTAGTGGACAGTCATGTGACAACGTATGTGGCTGGTTGCAGTAGTGGACAGTCATGTGTCAACGTATGTGGCTGGTTGGAGTAGTGGACAGTCATGTGACAACGTATGTGGCTGGTTGGAGTAGTGGACAGTCATGTGTCAACGTATGTGGCTGGTTGGAGTAGTGGACAGTCATGTGACAAGTTATGTGGCTGGTTGCAGTGGTGGACAGTCATGTGACAACGTATGTGGCTGGTTGGAGTAGTGCACAGTCATGTGACAACGTATGTGGCTGGTTGCAGTAGTGGACAGTCATGTGTCAACGTATGTGGCTGGTTGGAGTAGTGGACAGTCATGTGACAACGTATGTGGCTGGTTGGAGTAGTGGACAGTCATGTGTCAACGTATGTGGCTGGTTGGAGTAGTGGACAGTCATGTGACAAGTTATGTGGCTGGTTGCAGTGGTGGACAGTCATGTGACAACGTATGTGGCTGGTTGGAGTAGTGCACAGTCATGTGTCAACGTATGTGGCTGGTTGGAGTAGTGGACGGTCATGTGTCAAAGTATGTGGCTGGTTGGAGTAGTGGACGGTCATGTGTCAACGTATGTGCCTGGTCGGAACAGTGGACAGTCATGTGACAACTTATGTGGCTGGTTGGAGTAGTGCACAGTCATGTGTCAACGTATGTGGCTGGTTGGAGTAGTGGACAGTCATGTGACAACGTATGTGGCTGGTTGGAGTAGTGGACGGTCATGTGACAACTTATGTGGCTGGTTGGAGTAGTGCACAGTCATGTGTCAACTTATGTGCCTGGTCGGAACAGAGGACAGTCATGTGACAACTTATGTGGCTGATTGGAACATTGGACAGTATAGTTTTGATGGAAAAAGGCTCTTCAGTGACTGTGTTCACACAGCCCAGAGAGTCAAGAACCAGATGTTTCGATAAGTCCAATATCTCACTCACTCCTTTCCCATCTTGTGAAAGACAAACTCCTGGCAGTCTACGAAGCAGTCAGGATCCACGTGACCATCTTCCTTACATATACGGCCTGGAAACAAAAGACAGGTAACCTTGGTAACTGTAGACAAGAACTTATCTTGGAGCCCAAACTAAGGACGTTAAGTGCCCATGTCAGACAAAGTTGGAAAAAAAGCATTATCATGTTTACTAATGTTAATGTTCATATTGTATTTAATTCATAGGTACTACTTTCAATGCATCACTCAGCAACATTCCAGGTATATGACAATCTAATTAAAATCAGACCTTAGTACTCGCTACCGCTAAACAAAGATCTGAAAAAATCCCATTAGGGGTCACGTCAGTACGACCTTTTATCCGACTAATCAGAGCATTGCTTACCAGATTATGAAAGTGACAGTCGAAATGTGATTTCTTATCATGCAATCTCGAAAACTTTAACACGGGGTATTCTGAACGATAATTACGGGTTAAACGACAGAATCCATTCAGTCTAGACCATCTATTAGCCATTCCAGAATGTTCTTTTGTTCAGGTTTCAAATTTGTAATCGAGAGTTTGTCAAAATATGTTTCGTAGCGTAGTCGCCAATTTGAAATAAGTGCCATAAAGCACGAGAAAGCTCCCTTCTGATTGGTCAATTCATTGGCCGGTCAAAGTTCGTGCAAGGTCAGTCAGTGAGAACTAAGATTTGATTTTAATGAGATTGGCTATATCATGGCAGCCAGTAAATAATCGAGTCTTCACCAAACAATCCAGTGATTGATATTATGAGCCACTACCCACGTTGTCGGGGTACAAAAACACAGAATCAACCAAGTCATCGAGCCGGACCACCCGATCCATTTGGTTGCCTCAAACAACCTGTATACCTTGCTTGGGACCAGTTCAAATCTGGAATTACCATGGATAAACTAGGCATTAAATGCAAAAACATTGAAAACTACTGAACATACTAAAGACTTCTTTCTCGCTATTGGTCCAGGATTGATTTGACATGCTAGTCTTGTACATGTTATATGCCTTGTAAGACATATGATATTTTTAAAAATTAGAAACAGTGGCATTACTTACGTATCGTTTCATTGCGGATCTGTTCAGTGACACCAATAGGGTGTGTTGCATCTTGGGATATGTACTTGGTGAATATTGTGACGGCATCATGTTGTATACCTGAGGAATCATTATCATCATCATGATAATATTAAACAATAACGTCTAATTAAAATAACCAAAGCGAATCTGTGTGCTGCATTTAAGATAAAGGCCCCTTTCTCAGGTGCAATACCTAGATATCATAAGGATATTTTATTAATGCTATATATTAGGGGTGTTCGTTATAACCGTAGGTTACTGTATATTGCAATACGGCTGTCAACAATACATGTATCGCAATACAACCCTTGTGTATCAGTATTATCCGATACAATCACAGGAGAATTAATATAATTATATAAGTTATATCTATAATCTTGAGGCATTTGAATGGACTGTGTTCCTATCTAAATCATGTAAACAGCACACGCTTCACGCTGTTTACATTAAGATTCCATATTCATGACGAAATAGGTAGTCTCGTTTAACCATTCTACCATCTTGTAATCAGAAGTCTGGATTATTGAAAGAAGAAGTATCTTTAGAACAGTACAAATATATATAATTTAGGCACCAATAGGTATTACAAAATATGTATCGCAATATAGCTCTCCATATTGCAAAACGATTTATGTGCCAATATGCCAACCCTACTATATATGTTGTGAAAACATAACAAATATATCATTCAATTCGGTTGTAAAAAATCATTTGTTCTACACGTCCTAGTTCTGAATAAATTAAAAAAATAAATTAAACTAAAACATCAATATTATTCAACATGCTCAAGAGAAATCCAGGACCATCCAATGAATGAACTGGGTGGTCCTTAACTTCTTCTGTTTAGTATATTATTACAGGTTTTCAAAAAAATCTGACAGCATTATGATATATATTCTTCAAAAAAAGGTGTTTCAAAAACATTAGATCAATACAAAAATTGACTTACTCTTTTTTAACTTCTCCTTCAAGTCTTCTTTTGAAAGTCCTGTACTAGCCCTGCTTGTTTCCACTTGATCTGGAGATCTGGCCCCTCCTGCCACGGCCGCCTCCTTACCCCCACCCCCTGTGTCCTCCGTCTTGGCTGTCCCAGCACCCCCAGGGATGACCGTTGGGTCACCGAGTCTCTGAGAGGGGTCACTAGCACTAAATACACTGTCTTCCTGACTGAGTCCATCTCGGCCAGACCCAGGGGTCACTCCTCTACAATCACTGGATCCTCCCACTCGGTCATCACATCCTGCTACACTACTGACACTACTTTCCACAGCACTATTTAAACTACTTTCCACAGCACTATTTACACTACCTTCCACACCACTATTTACACTCGGGTCTGATATACTCCCCACATCTTGCACTCGTTGAGAGTCACTTTGAGGGCCAGTCTGAATATTTTTGGTAGAGACATGTGAGTTGCCATGGTTACAAGCGACGGAATTCAAAGAATGTGTCCTCACGCGCATCACAGTCGATGCATGGAAGCTTTCGGCGTCTAGCCAGAACTGGATGATGTTTCCGGCTTTCTGAGCCTTCATGTAATAGAGGAAGCAGGCCACGCCATTTTGATCGTGCAGCATCTCCCTCAGGGTCTTTGACAGTCGTGACGAGGTCCGCATGGGTGATGCAGGACCTTGTACACTGCCACCTAGGTACAATAAAAGACACTACATACTCCTGTGACATACACACGATCAGGCAGCCAAGAGGTCCTTGTCAGTGAGTTCTGTCATGTAAATGTATTTTGAAAAAGATTGCAATACATGATTATTTACAATCTTAATTGTAACAAATGTTATATTTGGGATAACACTTTCTTAGTAAATTACAGATTCTCGTACTTTTTGGGCTGACCAGTTGTCGGACTTTCATTTCTGTGGAAGCCTCGGTGGCTGACTTTGTGTGCTGGTGACTAGGTGCCTCACTCTGGCAATCTCATTAAAATCAGACCTTAGTTCTCGCTACCGCTAAACAAAGATCTGAAGACATCCCATTAGGGGTCACGTCAGAACGACCTTTCATCCGACCAATCAGTGCGTCGCTTACCAGATTATGAAAGTGACAGTCGGAATGTGATTTCTAATCATGCAATCTCGAAAACTTTAACATGGGGTATTCCGAACGATAGTTACGGGTTCAACGACTGAATCCTTACAATCTAGACCATCTATTAGTCATTCCAGAATGTTTTTTTGTTCAGGTTTCAAATTTGTAATCGAGAATTTGTCAAAATATGCTTTGAAGCGTAGTCGCCAATTTGCAATTTGTGCTGTAAAGCACGAGAAAGCTGCCTTCTGATTGGTCATTCCGTTGGTCGGTCAAAGTTCACGCAAGGTCTGTCTGACGTGACCCGTAATGGGATGTCCTCAGATCTTTGTTTATTGGTAGCGAGAACTAAGATATGATTTTAATGAGATTGCTCACTCTGGTAGTGTTGGTTTGAATCCTGGATGGGACTCAACCCCAAAAAGTACTTTACTAAGAAAGTGTTATCCCAAATATAACTTGTGCTACATTTGACCACTTTCTAAATGACATTGTGTATTCTTAATCTTAATTATATTTCCCATCATGCTAGGTCTCGTTTATACTGTCATGTTATAATATTATGGTAATTAATTTTGTGTTCACAATCCTCTACATAGTTGTAACATTTTGGGAAAAAGTTGATATTGTACACAAGAAAATATTGGACTGTTTCTACATGAATTTTCAAAAGTACAAATTAAAAACTGCATCTCAAAGAGCTGATGAATGAAGTATTCTGTCTCCATAAGTATCAGTGAATAGATATCTCATTACTTAGTACTGCTTCCTGACAATTTCAAAACTAGCGCCAGACAAAAATCAAATGAAAAGTTCACATCTCACCTGTGAGAGATCCATGCAATTAACTCCATATCTCACCTGTCTGATATCCATGCAATTACCGTATTCGATGTAATAAGCGCCCCGCTCTAATAAGCACCCACGGTGATATTTGCTAATATATTGGTCAGTGAACAATCCCAATTAGCACCTCTTCCTATTGATCAATGTACACAAGACTTATTTATTCATGTATAATACGCACTCGTGTGTTATATGCACCCTTAATTTAGGCAATTAAATTCTGGAAAATATATATCTGTCGTGTATAATACACACAGACTTTTCTTTTGTTTCATTTCAGGTACATAAACCTAGAAATTTACGATCTTTCAACTCTGTTTTTTCTCTCACCAAAATTATATTCTAATAAGAGCCCCCTATTTCTAATTTTGAGAGCACCCTTGGCGCTTATTACGTCGAATACAGTATCTCCATATCTCACCTGAGAGAGATCCATGCAACTATCTCCATATCTCACCTGTCTGAAATCCATGCAACTATCTCCATATCTCACCTGACTGAGAGTCTTGCTGTGATGCTGACTGCAACAGTAGACTCTTGGGTCTCTTCTTCCCCAGGACACCTCCATCAAGCATCGTTTCTGGCACACCTACAGCAACACAACACACCAAGTCAACCTTCATCATACTCACACTGTCTGACAGGAATGTCAGGAACTTAACCATGCTTTTAACTACTGGTGGGACGATACACATGCATCGGTGGATCGCGATTTTTTCTTCATGTAAAAAGTATCGGTTCTTACCATAAGTGTTTTCTTGAATAAATGTTACACCAAACACTAATTACTAGTGAAAATGAGCAGTGAAAACGTAAACATTTTCATCCATTGCGCCATACTTGACACTACCAGCTATTATTCATTAGTGTGCCAGGTATTTGGCCATCCTGTCTATGAAAAAGATGGCTGACACACCACAGATAAGAGCACGTGCAAGTATCATGATACGTATCGGATCGTGAGCAAGGTATCGTTATACGTATCGGATCACACAGTTGGTGTATCATCCCAGCCCTACTTTTAACAGTATTCCAGTGATATCTCTGTGTGTCAGCTTAATGTGGGAGGAAAGCCCTAAGTGATGCAGGTCTTAGACGTTTACCACTTTGGTGAAACCCACTAGCACGGGTATGGTGCTGACAAACCTAGAAACATAATTGGGGCGAACCGAGATTCGAACCCACAATCATAGGTTTCGGGAGTACCCAAGGGACACAACTCTGCACAACGATTTATGGCAGCGTAGACTACAGGGCCACCCATGACTCCATGACAGGAAAGCATAAACTGAACGAATGAACAGGATGAAACACAATTCAGGGTTTTACATGATGCAAAAATATGCATCCAGTACGCAAAAATGTATCGAATGGATGCAGACAAAAAAAGATTGCATCCAAAGGGACACACAATAATATTTGTTGTACCAAATTAAAAAAAATAAAAGATCATGTAATTGAAATAATTATAACATCTTACAGTACACTATTTAGTAACTACAGGACCCTCATATTTTCTGTAAGAGCCCGTGAAATTAATTATCAGGGGTCGGCTGGTCCCTCAGTTTTGTTAGTCAAGGTAAAACCATGAACAATTGCACAGGGAAATCAGCACACTGCATTTTGCATTCACATTCTTCCCAATCCAGCCCCAGGGCCGAATGGCCAGATGGCTGATATGGCGGTTGAGGGTTGATATGGTGTATGATATAAAAACTGCCATAATATAATTATACTTTTTTATCACATACTCTCACATCAAATTGAAAAATTTATCTATTTGCAAGTGAAATCGATACAGTTTCACCTTGTTTAGAAGACATTGTCATGGGAAAGCTAGCCGAACAGACGACGCCCAAAAGTCCAATTTCTTACCACCTGGGCCGATATCAATCCCCTATTCAAAATGCATTGACAAGCCATATCAGCCCGGAAAGCGGTGTAATATGGGTCTAGTGTATCAGTACCGTCCTTGTGATACAATGTACCCTATTGGCCTTATTAAGAACCTCACTCCAACAAGTGCTCACTAACCAACTTCTTGACCAAACTCGTAATCTCGTCATCAGTAAATTCTAACGCTGATATAAGTACAATTATCTTAAACATGACCTGAAACCCCACTGCATCTCACCTCACAATAAACCATGGTTAATCATAAACCCCAAAAACAAACATAGCACCAAGGAGGAATTACCGATATCTCCATTTAGAGAGTTGGGTGTGAGGGGACTGTGGTCACTGCGGTTTGACGGGGTTCGTTTCACAGTTGCGCCCCCTGGCGTTGCCGTGGGGACTGTCAATGGTGCAGGTGGCTCAGGTTTAGCCTTATCTGTGAAAACAAGGAAATGAATGTAGACATGAATCATGATGACTAAAGAACCACACATTCCTTTAATCCCATAAAGAAAAATTTACTTCTCGCTACCACTCAACAACTTTGCTGACCGGTGGTGGTAGCGAGAACTAAGATCGGATTTGAATGAGATTGAGAAAATGCACGCCTGATGGTCGTGTTGATTTTTAAACCGTATATGTAAATACAAATTTGTTTAAAACTCATATTAGCTGACAGGATGGTCTACGAATACAGCTAAGTGACTCATTTGCAACTTCATGAAATCTTACAGTTACCAATGCTAGCGTTAAGATAAATGCATGAAGCTTTGACGTGTACTCCCAACACTGCATCACTGTGTAGTAAGCGTGTGGCATAACAAAGCGAGGCCGCCAAATGGTGTGTTGATATCAAACCATTTAAATGACTGTCATTTTATTATCATTTGCAAAGAGATAGTCCGTCCAGTTTACAAAATCTGGACTGGCTATTTTTTAACTGGCCAGGTAACTTTTGTGGGTTGCCAGTCCCGGCTGCCTGCTAGTTGTTTTGTGAATATTCAACACTGAATACGAAGGTAAATGCTTTTGTCACGCCATTAGGGGTAGCCTAGTGGTTTCTTAAAGTTTAATAAAAACTGACCACCTGAAGCCTAATGATGAATATATGTGAGTATGAGGCTGCGACTCGCTGTCAGTTCAAATGTTATGATACCAACTTTTCATTAATTGCATTAGAGACATTTTCTCTGTCACTTTTGGTTGTGAAAACAATCAAATTAATACAAAACACATGACATTTGTCCAAATGTTGTCAATTTACATAAATTGGACTCATGAAGAAATGGTCTTCAGCAACCCATGCTTTTTATATGAGGTGACTAGTGGGGATTGGGTGGTCAGTTTAACAGCACATTACTCATGTCATGATATAGATCATCCAGCAAGAGACGTTTACCCTTTTTATGTCATATATTAACAAAAACAAATGTCCCAGTTGATTTTTTAACAAAATTTAAATGAAATTATATTTACATCTATCTAGACTCAGAATATTACACTTCATAGGAAACATCAGTGTCATCTTTTGTTCATGGATATATCTAAACAAATGCATCAAGCAATACACACCTACATCATGTTACACGATCAAAAAAAATTTATGATTGTAATCAAACTTAGATATATGTAGTTGTATATGTATGACGATTTAACCCCACCAGATTGATTAAATTTGATTGGTTGGTTGGCTTGTTGTTTAACGCCGCACTCAGCAATATTCCAGCTATATGACAGCAGTCTGTAAATAATCAAGTCTGGACCAGACAATCCAGTGATTAATATCATGAGCATCGATCCACGCAATTGGGATACGATGACATGCATCAACCAAGTCAGCGAGCCTGACCACACGATCCCGTTAGTCGCCTTTTACGACAAGCATAGTCGCCTTTTACGGCAAGCATGGGTTGCTGAAGATCTATTCTACCCCGGATCTTCACGGGTCAGATTGATTAGAAAGTGAACATGCAGTAACCACAATTATGTATATACTAACCCACAAATGTACTTGGGCTGGGACGAGTCTAAATTTACTACCTGGGTACCGACTCCCCTTTTTCCCTACCCGGGTACCCGCTGTAGGTCTCAAGATATAGGTACAAACTGTCTGATTGGGAAAAGTTTGACTGAACCCCTGCAAAATGGTTTCAGATACATGTATAAAACAATCTGGTCATGCATACACTGAAGTTTTATCTTAATTCAAACATATAAAAGACAGGAGTGGGACCATAGGCAAATCGAAACATGAACATTAGTGACATGTACTGTAATCATAGAGCTTTAGATAATTTTTGTCATTAAATAATATATTATGTGACTAACCACAGGTCCATGTAGTTCTGTTGGGTACCTGGGTCCTACTCAGGTCCCACCTGACTCGAGTACCTGAGTACACGAGTTACCCGTCCCAGCCCTAAACTGTACACATATTTATTTCAAAATGTGTACTGACAATGATTGAAAATGCATTGATTTTCTATAAATATAAGCTTCTGCTGTGATGTGGCTGTGATAGTGATATTGTGAACACCAATTATTGTGATTTGAAACCTTTGATTAAATAATCTGATATGGGTATTTTCCAACTTCATTATTTTCATAGTAGAAAGGAGATATTATATTTGCTAAAAATATAAGCTTCTGCTGTGATGTGGCTGTGATTGTGAGATTGTGAACACCACTTATTGTGATTTGAAACCTTTGATTAAACAATCTGATATAGGTATTTTCCAACTTCATTATTTTCATAGTATAAAGGAGATTTATATGAGCTATAGATACTATAAACAATGATAAACAATGATAAATAATTAAGGTTTAATCATATTAACCCAACAAGAACATGCTGATTGATCATGTTGATTTTGGCTGCCATTTCTTAGCCTAAGACACGGATAACTATTTCATTTTTTTCATGTGCAAATGTGTCAGAAGTTTCAAACAAATATGGCAGACAGGGATCCATGTGTGTCATGGTGTGATTAGTAAGAGTCTGCAGGTGTCTGCTGAGATGTAACAATAGGACATTAGCGGTCCCTATCTTTTGCAATGTAACAAAGAGTCTATGCCTTTGTAGCTTATAAATCATATCTGTGTTTCATCACTGCTCACATGCTGATGTAAATATATGATATATGAGCAGAGATTTATCTTGGGTCTTAAAGTGCCCTTGGCAAACAAACTGTGAAATAATTTTTGTTCAAAATTTGGAATTCTTGTACAGTTCATTTGTTTCCTTAGAGGTATTCTAACACTGTAAATGCAAGAATATCAAACTAAGTCATATACGCAAAGTTATAACATATCAGGTTAAAAATTATGGCATCTGGAAACAAGGATATCTTTAACTGCAATTAATTGCAGAATTGGGGCTGAATATTAGACCCTGAGAATGCCTAGACAAATGTCTGAAAGGGGTTAGTCTAAGAGGTTTTACCTACTTTTCCATTTAAACATTTCTTACAACATGTACAAATGATAATTATCAATATGATCAAGCCTGGGCTTGGCAAAGCAGGATATGTTGACACACTGTATTGAGCATGTTGAGTTCTCATACAAATTATTAGTTACTGTTGAAATGTTCATTCAATTTTTTCATTGACATCAAGATGGAAAGAAAGTCTCAGGATTATCTCAAGAAAAAAATGTTTGTCTTTCAAACTTTAGGCCCAAATTTTTGGCATGCCTTGTTAACATGCCTGAGACAACAAATACTCTCAATTAGAAATAGCTCTCATCAAAGTAATATCTGTCTGCGTTGATGATCTCACACATGTATGTAAACACGGGTGTCTAATTCAGAAACCGACATATTAGATTTGGACGCTGGTCAACAAATGACCTGTGACACAGGTGACATATAGTACGAGAAACGCCTACCGATCGAATTCGAGAGGGCAGTGTTTACCTGTTTTCCGTCTAAAGAATGGCATGGTGCATACCCATGCACACGGACGTACACCTCATTTAATGACTGCTATCGTCACGAATTTGGATTTACGCCGACTTTTTCCATTTCGTAAGATATTTCATGTGAATAAACACTCGCAAAATCTTAACACGGAAGCAGCCATAATAGATGACACTTTATAAAAACGTCGCTCACGACAAAAACGAAACAGGTCACACAGATGTATTTCGATAGACAATTTGAAACAGATGTTATTGATATCTAAGAATATTATATCGATTTGTGGTGACGGAGTTGTCAAGTCTTATGGTCAGTGCCATTGAATGGAACAAACTACATTTATTGTTTCGGCAAATATTTCGCACTAGCGATGCCAGTTTTAAAGTGCTCGAGATGCTAAACTGGTTTTACAAGGTTGTTGCATTTGCGCGTTTCTGTAGCATGTACCAAGTTTGGACGAAGTAAATTTTGTATCTTTCTCTTTGAGATAAGAGTCAAACTCATTTAAGAACTAGTAATAAACGTTAAAAGTCAAAAGTTGAGTAATACATATATACGAAAAATGTAAAGGAGAAATAAGTGAAAACAATCCAGAGAAGAAGATAATATCATTATGTACATACAATAATGAATATATGAACTATGAGTGAGTGAGTGAGTATGGTTTTACGCCGCTTTTAGCAATATTCCAACAATATCACGGAAATGGGCTTCACACATTGTACCCATGTCGGGAATCGAACCCGGGTCTTCGGCGTGACGAGCAAAGGTTTTAACCACTAGGCTACCCGACCGCTCCTATATGAACTATGAAATATACTGAGTAGGGGAAAAAAGCATACCGAGTTTGTCTCTTAATCTTATTTCAGAAAAAAATCAACAGTGGTTAAAACTTAAATTTTATTTAAGATCTATTTAACCATCGATCATCCCTTTTCAACACTTTGTAAAATGCAATCAATGGCTGGGTAATGTTGTGTAAATATTAATTGGTTCAGTGAAGACTGGGATAAGAAATGAAATTATCAGCACATGACCCCAATACTATGTTTGACTTGTTGTAAATTTGTTAAACGCTTAAACCACTGGAATCGCGTGAGTGAGTGAGTTGGGTTTAACGCCGCTTTTAACAATATTCCAGTTATATCACGGCGTGTCAGCTTAATGTGGGAGGAAAGCCCGAAGTGATGCAGGTCTTATAGACGTTTACCACTTCGGTGAAACCCACGAGCACGGGTATGGTGCTGACAAACCTAGAAACATAATCGGGGCGAACCGGGATTCGAACCCACAATCATAGGTTTCTGGCGTGCCCAAGGGACGCAACTCTGCACAGCGAATCGCGGGGCCTTAGACGACTTAGACGGAATTTATTTATTTTATTACGTCAATCGTTACTATGATCAATAGCGGTATTGATGTTAACTGATGATAGTTTATTCTCCCGTCGATGTTCTGCAATTGACCAGTTACTAATTAGTATGTCCCGACAGTTGGATCAGCCATAACGCTCCATCAGATGCTCGCTCCATGCATGTACAACCACGGCAGCACAGAACTTTCATGTTTGTTCACGTTTGTTCACGTATCTTATCCTTGTTCATGTTTCGCATTAAAAATATATACATGCAGTACATAGTAAAATGGAACTGATCACAAAGCAAACATCCAATGTTGATTATGTATTAATAAATCGTTTGAAGCAAATAAAACCTTTTATTGAGCGAGGCGCTCGTAAAAGATTTATTTTAACGCCCTTCAGTGTCGCGTGCATACACCCACAAAATAAAAAAAGCCTGAGGGGAAGCATTTTTTAAAACATTTTTTCTATGGTTTTTTTAAACACACTATTAACTGCGTCTTTGTGCATTAACTGTCAAAGAAGGTGTTTCACATATAGGATGCATCCTTGGTAGGACTAAATATATGGTGTGTTGCAGGTGTTTGTTTGTTTGTTGTTTAACGCCGCTCTTAGCAATATTCAAGCTCTGTGAAGGCGGTCTGTAAATAATCGAGTAATGACCAGACAATCCAGTGATTGACGTCATGTACATCGATCTACGCGATTGGGATACGATGACATGCATCAACCAAGTCAGCGAGCCTGACCACCCGATCCCGTTAGTCGCCTTTTACGGCAAGCATGGTCATTGGTTTTAAAATTACCCTATATCTTATGGGAGTAAATATTATTGATTATCATATATTATACCTGTCAATGGTATGAGACATTTTGCATGTGCGATAGAGCCATCACGGAGATGGTCATATCACAGGGGGTGTAATAATCAGACCCGTATTACATCCCCTGCTGGGCTGATATGGCTTGTCAACGTATTATTAATAAGCGGTCGATATCACTATCAGCCCGGGTTTTAAGAAATTGGAGTTACGTCCCTTAGTGTGTCGTCTGCTCGTCTGCTCCTCTGCTCGGCGAGCTTTCCAGTGACTTCCAAACAAGGTGAAAATGTATTGCATTCAGTTGCAAATAGATAATTTTACAATTTGATGCTATGGTTCTTGATAAAAAAAATTATTATATGGCAGTTTTCATATCCCAACCCGACATCAACCCTCGCCCCCCATCAGCCCCCCAGGTCTTCGGGCTGAGATGGGGATCTCGAGTTGATACGGTGTATGATATGAAAACGGCCATATAATAACCTCTAAATATCCAAAGAAATATATCAATATCCAATGTGAATGATAACTTTAGAGTAAATATTCAATGGTTTAAATATACCTGGAGCCCCGGGTTAGAAAACAGATGTTCAACTGCTGAAATGGATACGACCAGGGTGGCGTTTTATGAAACTACGACCACCTCACCATGACACAGTTTAGACTCTCCCAAGGATCGCCTTACGACCGTTTGAGTCTAGTAACAACTTCGGTAAGTCCCCTGTGTTACGTCATGGTAATGTACTAGGGTCGTTCTCGCTCTACTTATACAGCTTCAGTGAATGTCCTGTGTGCATGGGTAGATTATGTCGTATTAGTTTAAACATGTTTTATAAACGTGAGTGAAATTGATTGGGGACACGTTTTAGGGGACCGACGGACAATTTGAAGGGGGATGGGATTTTATAAAAAGAAATAGATTGTTCCTGAAAATTATTCTAAAAAACAATTATGATCAGACCTTTAAAAAAAAGGAATTGCCTGCCACAAAAATGATATTGTTGCAAGGCGTTTCAGAAAATTCAGGTTCATAGTAATAAATGACAATATCTGTGCAATTACATGTTAAAGGGGCAATGATCTAAAGCAATTCCCCGGGACTGGTTGTTGCCTTTCTTATTGTTTTTCCCCGTGAGTATCCGGATGATACGCAACGCAACTGAGCGTGACAAGAGACTGGGCTACCGATTGCAAGAGCAGCTGAATAAACCTAGGGGCAATATTTGTTTTACGCATTTTTGAACACTGACTGTGACTGTAAACCGTGATCTATAAAGATTTCGATAAAGAGCGCATGATAAGTAATTTCTTCAGCCTAAACAAACAAAGAGAACGGCGGAGCTCTTCGGATGTCGTCATTTGGAAATACCCCTGCATGATGGTTATAGTTTAATAATAAAAAAAATATCCATGCAGTGAAAGCATTTTCGGATTTCGGATTGCGCCGATAATACGATTACTACTCCCTTGTTGTCATCCACGTTTTCTGGTATAACCCTACACTTGTGAATTTGTCGTCATTCACTTGATGATCAGTTAATGAATTTATTACAGGTATAATTAGTGGTAGCACCACTCAGATTACCTGACAAAGGTTCCCATTTGGCATTTATTGTGTCTGGTGTAATTATTCAATCTAAATCCAGGTTTGAAGTGAGGTGAAATGTGTTCTATGTAATATGCACGTGGCAGCCCAGCAAGAGATGAATGATCAGTTGATTTACTTTTTTTTGTAAATCAACGGATGGTTCCTAGTCATCAAAGGATTAACAGAAAATACGTTGATTGATTAATCACTGTTATCTTGCACAGTGGATATGTCAAAAGTGAGTGTTTACATGTCTAGGTTTTATAAAACAAAGGGAATATACTCATATCATGGCGTGAAGTGCCGACGTAAAAACAACATACTATGTTCAAAGGGTTAACTGATAATACGTTGATTGATTGCTCATTGTTATCTATCACTCAATGGATTTTTTTAGGAACCGTGGACGTTATGAAAATAGTTGTCACGTGAGCTTTCTCAGCCGACCTTTGAGACTTGACACCTAAGTGTAACACCTGTAACAATCTAACTGATCAGTTAATAAACTAACACGGGTCATAATATCCCGAAACCAAATATATAGTTTAAATATTTGATTGTTACAGAGACATGTGACTTCGAATAAGTTTCTTTGTACAGCTGCAGACGTGTGGGATATTGTTCCTTTGTGTGGCTATTCACGGATACATTCCTCGAACAAGGAAGCTGCCTAAAATTATACACATAAATCTGGTAGGTTGTAATTATGATATTTGCATTTTGTTTTCCTTCATTTGCTGTAGCATTGAACAGATTCATTTTAGTTCCTCTACGTCTTGGTTGGGAAATTCTTCGATGCGCGATAGACGTTGTTTTCACAAGTCTGTTCCTTTGTAAGCGAGTATATGTTACCGTCAATTTATAAAATGTGATTCTCTCAGGCAATTTATAAAATTAATATGTAAATATTTCAGTCATTTTGACTTAAAAATCTGTCCATTTATTTAACAGATTGACTAAAAATGATTAAGACGTTAAAAAGGGCCTAAAAACACCACAGTAGATTATTATGTAGGATTAGAAGCCAAACAATATAGAAATGTACTTTTCATCGTAACATTTTCAGTTTCTTGATGATGAGAACAAACATAAAAATGTTTGGAATTCGTTGTCACAATAATACAGATGGACATATTTTTCAGTCAATTTATAAAATAACTGAATATTTAGGCGTTTAATTAATGTCCTAAGTGAAAATTTTGCACATTTTGACTGTAAAAATATAAACGCGATAAAATAAGCAATGCTCAGGTGAAATATTTACTTTGTGTTGCAAGTCAAAATAATGTAAACGAAAATCGCACAATTACCAAGCACGTGACTTATCAAAACTTCGTCACCATTACCGATGCTACCCACAAAAATACCTACATTTCCTTATTATTTCCAAAAC